CAGTTCTTCAATAACTTTTTATAATTTTAAAATGGAATTCTCAGGTTTGGAACATGGAAGTGGACTGTAGATTGTGCAGTTGCAAAATTTAATTTTTCTGTGATAAATTCATTGGTAACACCTGAAACAAATTGTTTATCAGGAAATAAGACTCAGAAATGTTAGTTTAATAGTGTTAAATAGTAAGTAGTAAAGTTAAATAGTGTTAATCAGTTTGAAATTTTCTATTTTCTGTTATTTGTTGGGAGCATACTCTTCTTTTCATTCCTACTTATATTCTAAAGTTTTAACTTGATTTAAACATTCTATTATAAGACAGGAAGTAGGTTGATGGTCAATAAATGGTAAGTTGCTATGTGCATTTTGAAATAATTATAAATATTTTTTAAAGCAACAAGATTTCCTCAGTGTATACCGTCCTCCCTTCTTTTATTAATGTGAATCTGTTTTTTGTCAAGAAGACATTTTTGTCTCTGATAAATAGTTCAGTTGGAGTACAGGGCTGTTTTTAGGTTATGCTGGATTGTATTAAAAAAAAAACTTCAGTGGTTAATGTCATAGATTTATCACTTTTAGCCCTTTCCCACTGATGTTTGACCTCAGCCGTAATGTTTCCTTTTCTATATACATCGCAGGAGCTCAAGCTGACATTAGGTTCACTGTTGCTGTTTAAATCCATCGAGCCTTTAATAAAGATATTTTCATGTTTTCAGGGGTGGTGTATAAAATTCTACTCACCATCTTTCTGATACTAAGTTGATTAGTTTGATTTTATGATGACGGGATCATTGCGTGGTAACTGCATTAAGGAAGAATGGATTTAGTTGACTTTGTGTACATTTTTATCTGTGTTACCTTCATATTTTATTTAGAAGCATTTCATGCCCAGGATAAGTTACACATTTATATAATTGAAGTTAGCAATGTGGCAAAGTCTAATCAAAGAAAAGCGCTCTAGACTGATGACATAAACTTGAGCTACCTTGCCTTGAGTACATGTGTTGTTCGTAATAATTTGATGGTTCCTTAGGTGTTTTGTTCATATGCTAGAGGCTTATTCATTCTGTATCAGTTAAAGTGCTTTGCTTTGTTTTAATATAGTCATGTTTTTACTGAATATATTTAGGGGTTCATACTGCTTAGTTAACTGGTGAGTAAAAATTACATGTTTTAGGACAATTGTATTGGGATATCTCTGGTTTTATGGATTTGACGCTTTAGGCAAGGTGCTAATGCAATGGAGCGAATCCTTCCAAAAGTCTCTGGTTTTTGTATCTGTGAAGCTCATAAAGAGAAGATTCAAAGAACCCTGCGTAGTGGTATGAGGGTTTGCTCTGCGCCAAGATTGATGTGCCTTTTGCTGGATGGCTTCTGTATTAGTACCATCAACTAGAGTACTCAATACTAATTGTGTTGGAAGGAGAGGTACAGGGTTATAACATCCATAAAAGGAAAGGGAGTCTTGTAAGACTGAGTTAAAATACAAAAATGTGCAAAACCCAAATATATCACAGAAAACAAACAAATGGTATAAAATCTATGCCCATGACTTCCCTTGTTATCTGAGAAAGACAAGTTAAAACTACAATGAGATACTATCTATCAGCTCTCAGAGAGAAATTCAAAAGCTTGCAGCTTACATTTAAATTTTGAAATAATTGTAGACTCATTTATCCATGTGCCCTTCACCAGTTCCTCCAGCTGTAGGCGATGGACAGTGGCACGTCACACTTACTAGGCCACAGACCTTACTCGCCTCCCACCAGTTGTTTCACCTGCATCCATTCGTATTTGTATGTGGGTGAGTGTAGTTCTGTGAGATTTTATCTCATATATAGATTAACACAATGAACATAATCCACCGCAGTTAAGACACTGGACTGTTGAACACACACCGCTTTGTATTCAAGCCCATCCTTCAACCTACCCCTATCCCTTTCTCCTGACAACCACTAATCTGTTCTCCACTTCTATAATTTTGTGATTTCTAGGATGTTATATAAGTGAAATCATATAATATGTAACATTTTAAGATTAACTTACTTTTTTTGTTAGTCCAAGTAAGGGTTTGTCAATTTTGTTGATTTTTCAAAAATACGAACTCTTAGAAATAAACTTAACCAAGGAGGTGAGAGACTTGTACACTGAAAAGAGAAGCGGCATTCTCACCGTATGTTGACAAGAATGATCTTCCAGTGTAGTGGAAGCATGTTCCTTGGTCAGGGCCATGTGGCGTCGCCGTGTGTATCTTCGCGCGCAGTCCTTGGTGACTAAAGGCTGACTTCCATTTGCCTCTCTCTTTGTGTAAAGGTGCTCGTGAGCGAGGACTCTGACAGCGATGGTATCGTGGCCCACTTCCCGGCTCATGAAAAACCAGTCTGCTGTATGGCTTTTAATACAAGTGGTATGTCCTTTTATTTTTCTTCTTTCCATTTATATCATGGGCTTTCCAATTGATTTTTTTGGAAATGGAAAATATGACACATGGAATCTGGCTTTTCGGTGTGTCAGTGTATATCAGAAAGTAAGTGGTCTTTGGAAACTGGTTATTGAATGAATGAATTTATAATAAAAATTTAGAAACCGTCTAAACGTTAGCTCTACTCATAATAAAAGGGCGAAAGCAGCAGTAGGTAAACAGTGCTGTTGAGTTGCCTTAATTTCTGAATTATAGTTAAGCCAAGAACTTCAGTATTTCAATAGACATATTCGTGGATGAGAATGGAATTTTCTTTAAAACTTCAAGTTTCTTTTTAACTTTGTAACATTTTATAAATATGTTTTTGTTTTTCTGGTTCTTAAAGCATTTGGTAAGGAGAGATGTTATAGCAATGTGGAACCCCCTATTACCTTTCAAACATAAACATATATTTAAAAGATAGTATAGTAATGACCCATGTACCACCACCTCCATTAAGCAGGTGTTCACATTTTAGCATGTATGATATATACGTATGTGTATTATGCGGAACCATTTGAATGTAAGTTCCATATATTATACCATTTCACCCACTGCAAATAACTATGCATTTCCTAAGCATAAGGACCCACCCCCTCCTGTATAACCAAAAATTACATATTAGTTCAGAAAACTAACATACTTTATTATCTAATATCCAAACTATAATTTAAATTCCCCGCTTGGCCCTGCCCGGCTGGCTCGGTTGGTTGGAGTGTCACCCCATACACCAAAAGGCTGCAGGCTCAGTCCCCGGCCGGGTGCCTGCGGGGGACAACCAGCGATGTTTCTCTCTCCCGTCGATGTTCCTCTCTTTCTTGCTCTCTCCCGCTTTCTCCCTTCCTCTCTCTAAAATCAATGAACACGTCCGAAGGTAAGGATTAGAAATAAAAAATTCCCCAATTGTCTCAAAATAGCATTCTCCAGCTGCTTTGAACCAGGTTGTAATTCAAGTTCACTTCTTCCATTTTGTCACGTCTTTTGAGTTCCTTTTAGTCCAACTTAAAACTTCCACCTTTTCTTTTTTGCAGTGCCGAGGCCAGTTATCTTATGCAAATTCTGCACTTGTCATATTTTTTCATTAGAATAATGTTTTCTTTATTCCCTAAAGAGGCTTTTAAATAACATTCAGAGCAAGGATTTTTTTTTAAGGTCCTAAGTATTGCTGCCTGCATCATTTCACCCCGGCAGGAGACACATAGCATCAGGTTGTCTTGCAATTTGTTTGATCACATGGAGAGGTCAGTGAGCCATCAAACGTCTGCGTATTGGAGATCGCTTTCTCTTGTGGAGCTTAGCAAGGAATCTGCAGAGTGTTATCTTGGCCTCATTTCTGAAACAACTTTTTACTTAATAAGTTTTGTTACACTGAAGGCTGTACAGTGGTGGTTTTTCTAATTGTATTGTGTTTTCTGCAGTGATTATCGGCTATTCTATCAAAAAAAGTTTTCTCTCACCAACCAGGAATGAACCACAGTTATCCTGTATGTGAAAGGCAGAGATTAAATGCTTAATTCTTTCTCTTTGATTACCAACTTTCATAGTTAGGCATTGGTTTAATACTTCCAGTGGTGGAATTCCACTCCATTCTGGAATGCTTTGTTTACAAATAAAATAAAATTGTTCTTTTGCTTTCAGAGCTGAACTAGTCTTCATAAATTTACAGTCTTTTCAGATCTTATTTCTTTGGTTGATGGGTCCGAAGAGACTGCCATTTTATCTTATGCTGCAGAAATGATCCTGTTAGTTAAAATTGATGGAAAGACCCATCTTTCCCTTCTTCTCAAATAAAGAATGATGGTAAGAGGGTAAAATAGGGCACTTTGAATAATCTTTCTTGTAATATCTTAATTAGTCATTTTTTGATAGAGAGGAAGATTTTTGTAGTGATTGTTGATCAGTAGGATTGATTTAATTAATGAAGACAAAGATTTATTGAAGTGCTCTGAATGTTGTGGGAATTAAGTTAAATCTGAAGACACAGCCTGGAAGTTCCGTCCCTTCCAGCACTCCCTTGGAGTAACCAGGAGGACTCATTTTGATAGGCCATCAGTTATGTCAGGTCTCCTTTGTATTAATGCGTATTTCACGTTACCATAGCCAGAAGCTTCAGACACTGAAAGTTGTATCCCTTTCCTGTCTATAACTTTCGGTTATAATAACATATTATATAACTCAAAGAATGGAGTTGTCCCTTTCATTGTCTAGCAGTTAATTCTAGAAAACCATCGTTTTTCCCCCTCTGGATTCATAATTTTGACCTACGTTTGCCATTTGATTTCTGTTTGAACTCCCCATTTTGTGTTTTATGGTAAGATTTAAGCTTTTTATATTTATACCTACTTTTTTGCATTTATGGACCGCTTGCAGCAATCATGTCTTTAAATATTTGTTTGCCTAGCTATCCTCTGAATTCCAGTTTAGGTTAGGGTTCACTCTTGGGGTATACTCTGTCGGGGATCCAGCCCCGATCCCCCCGCGTCTGCGCCCCTCCTCCCGTCTCGGTGCTCCTTCAGCTCCCTGGCTGCGGGGCTTCTGTGCAGCCAGGTCTCAGGAGGCCCTGAGCGATGCTGGTTCTGTATTTTAGTTGTGATTCCGATGTGGTTGCGGGAGGCGGCGGGGCAGCCGTGACCTACGCCGTCCTCCTGTTTCTCCTGTTGTTGAATTTTGAGAGTTCTTTATGGATAGGTGTTCTGTAAATATTTTCTCCCTGTCTTTGGCTTGGCTTGTCATCCTCTTAAAAGTGGCTTTGATCGTCAGTATTTCTTTCCAGCCGTTTTCCCTCGCACGCTGGAAGCTAGCTCTCTCCCTAGCGACTCCTGCGCGCTGCCTGGCTCGGTGGTGGCTCAGCGAACCCGAGAGTCGCTGCCTGGGGGCTGCCGGTGTGACGGGGCCTCAAGGAGGACAGTCTCTGTGGCCCTGGGACACCGGCGAGGAGGAGCTAACCATCGCCTTGGCCTTTGGCTACTGCCGAACGTGCAACAGGAATTCAGTTCGAAACTGGACCCTAAAAGATACTTAGCTAGGAAATAATGATTCAGTGCCTGGCATATGAACAAACTTTAGTCGAGTGAAAGAGGCAAGAAAATATCGCACATTCGACATAGGGTGTGATGCAGAGTCTATACTGCGGACTGATCAGTGGATTCTGTGGTAGACATATTTTTCAATGTGTCATCATTTCTGCAGCATTTTAAAAATGCTTTGTACCTGTTTAAATATTTGAATTAAATGGAGGGGTCATAACTCAGCAACCACTCACAAAATTGGTTTGCAAAATCTTTATGGAAGCCGGTAGGCAGAGATTTCATGCAATTGCTTATAATTCATCTTAGTTATTTACTGTTCAGCTCTGAGTATTTTTTTGCTATTCAGAATATGACTGATACTGCTTGAGTATGGTGCAAGTGTGTGTATATAAAATATTTAATTTGCAATGATTTGAAAGCCTTGATTTTTTTTTTTTTTTTTTTTAAACTGGTCAGCAGCTGACCAGCTTCTTAGAGAATGGCTCTGGTGGCCAACTATTATCCAGCTCCTAACATTAGGTGACATTTTATTTTGCTTGTCAGGTTTCTGTATCATGTTTCTTGTTTCACCCTCCCCCTCCCCGATTAAGATATAAATACATACGTATGCAATGTTCGAGGCCTAGTGGTTATTTTTTCCATTTATTTATGTTATAGTTCAAAAAAATATTTTTAGGACAACAAATGTTGAATTTTCTATCAATCATTGTGTGTCCTCCTCTGTAAATTTACCTATGTTATAAAATGAGGCCATTTTCTGTTCTCTGGCTGAATTATCTTTGTTACTTCTGATTTTAAGTGGTCCTCACAGCACTTAAGATTTTTTATTTAAATTGGCCTTTTTGAAAATATACCTTGTAGATTGTCCAGTTGTATTCCCAGTTTTTCTTTACATGTATCCATACATATTTCTAAATTTCTTTATTTTTTCATATTTCTAAATGTATATCAATAAGTTTCAACTGGTTTGACCATCTAATAATTCTTTATTTGGTTAAAGGCTTTTTCATAGGAACTGTAGTGTGGGCAATAATAACAGCAGCGCTTATTAGAACAGTTTTAAAATAAGTTTAGGGAAGTTCATTAAAACAAAAAGCAAGTTAAAACATATAAAAAGTACTGATTTTTTTTTTTTTTAAGCCTAACCTTTCTCTAGCCAATTTACCTGTATATATCACTATAATACTCAGGAATATAAATAAATTTCTTCATTTTTCTTTTTAGGGAGGCATATTTTTAGATGACAGAATTATTAAAATGTCCTGGACATCAAAATTCAAGAATAATCCAGACCTGTTGTCCACCTCCTGAGAAATTGTAAAAGCAATCTAAAATGTAATGATGAAATAACCCTGCAAAATGAATTAAGGAGAAAATGTAGGTTGTGTGAGTCAGTGGCATGCGGTTTGGTTTTGTATGGGACCTACTCAGAAAAGAAATGAAGGGATGCATTAAATAGAGTTGTGAAACTTCTAGTTCAGCAGCTGCATTCAGTTTGTTTTTCAATTTCTCCTCCCCATTCTTGTTTATTAGCTGTGACTCTGAGTCCCAAATTAAAACAAATATTTTAATGGCAACATTTATGATTTGGTTAGAAGTGCGGAAAGGCCTCCATGCTTAGATCTGGGCGGATTCAATATGGGTGGTGGAAGTTTGTTGCTTTCAATTATTCAGATACACAAGGAATAACATTTTCTAGGGAACTTTAAAAAAAAATTAATACTTGTTTTTGAACAGATTTAGGTTCACTGCAAAATTGAGTGGAAAGTACAGAGAACTCACACACACACACACACACACACACACACACACACACACAC